TTTGCCCTTAGTCTTGGAGGTGCTTGCAAAATGAGCACTTTTTGTCTTGTCTTGCTTTAGTCTTTCCTCTTCTTGTACGCAGTGTGAAATGAGTTCATTAAGAGACCATTTATCCTTCTGACGGTTGTAAGATACCTTAAACTAATTAAACGTTGCGGGAAGAGAAATTAACATCAAATGAATGAGCAAGTCTTTTGAGGGTTCAAGTTTTAGTGCCTTGAGTTTAAAAACAATAGTAGACATGCTCATAATGTACTCCTTGATATTTCCTTTGCCCTGATATTTCATGGAGATCAAGTTCTGAAGAAGAGTGTTTGCCTCCGCCTTATCATTTTTTGCAAAGCGCTGCTCAATTTCAGCAAGGAATTTTTTTGCACTTGTGATGTTTTCAGATACAGTGCCCCTAAACACCTTCGGGATGTCGTGCTTAATGATCATTAGGCTCATGCGATTTGAGCAATCCCACTTCTCATAATCTCTTTTGTTCAGAAGTACTAGAATTCGTAGGAGTAGGGGGTTGCTCAGTCCTTAATGCAAGATTCATATCCATGCAGCCAAGAATAATATTAATGTTCTCCTTTCAGGCCTTAAAATTTGTTCTATTGAGGATCGAAACAGAATTTAAATTGACAGATACAGAAGCAATTGTAGCTTAATTAAGAACAGAAGAAACACTAATTATTTACACATTATAAAAATAAATAATTATATATATATATATATATATATATATATATATTCAAATAATGGTTTAACCCATCTCAAGACACCCAATGCACCATCAACATCAAGTCTTTGAACAGTAATATTAACTGTTAGGGGTATCTTGTTGTAATTATCAAACATTGACAATAAAGCACGTCCAACAACAAATCAGTCTTTGGATTGATTTATCATCGACCAAACAAATCCTTATAATTATCACATGTTTATCATTACAAGTGTGTATGCAATTCGGCCAAATATTAATTTTCCTTTGGGCCGATTAATACTCGCATGAATATACACAAACATTAACATTCAATATTTTTTTACGAACTACCAATTCAAGAGAGGTTACTTTGGTGACTTATTGACTCAATTTGCTCACAAAAAATATTAAACTACCAAAAAATTGAATATTTTATTTATATAACAAAATCAAATATTTAATATTTATTTATTTAGAATTAACAACACAAACTAATTCAAAAGACAATCACCTCATTAGAATCCCACTAAGGATGAACACCTCTCTAGAATCACACTAGGGATGAAACAGAGATAGTTCTGACCATCTTTAACACACTGCTCAAAAGAGGATTAAACAATAATCACTCAAATCCTAAGCAGGGAATTTAACATCAACTTCCCTTAAACCCCTAGAGGATAAAGACAATAAAATAAGAACAGTCATATATCTGGAAACATTCACCAGTTGCCTAAGATCCTCTGTGTTGGGAACTCCCCCAACATCACCCTCAATTCCAAACTCATCCATATCCACCATGAAAAGATATCGGAAAAAAAAACCCAGAAAAAAAAAGCAAATGATTCAAAGAGAACAGAGAATGCAATACAAGAAAAATTGAAACTTGAAACACTATTTCTTTCTCAGTAAAACTTGAAACTTAAATCGAAACAAAAGGGAAAAAACGAAGAAGAAGAAGAATTCATAGTTTCCTCTGCTACAATGATGGAACTTTATCTTTTTATGATGAAATTGATTGGGTTTTAAGAAACTCTGAATTAGCCAATTTGGGGATCGCATAACACAGTGAATTAGCGCGTTTCATCAGCGAGCAGAATCATATTAGGGATGTTACCCTCAAATTTAAATTTTAGGGTTCACAAAAATTGAGATTTTATAAATTAAACAGAATCTAAATTTTAAATATTTCCTAAGACAGACATGAATCAAGTATGAGCGACTCTGATACCAATTGTTAGGATTGAGCGCTTACCACTAGGTCAAAAGCTATAGCCATTAGTTAGAGTGCAACTTTTTTTACTTGAAAAATTCGATTGTGACTCGGTTCACCCGGCCTCCGCCACAGGACAATTGATGTTACCTGCAACAATATCTCCCTCAGCAATTGTCCTACGAGGAATCCCACTTGAATTGTGACTTGGCTCACCTGGCCTCCGCCACGAGACAATTGTGCAACCCGCAACAATCTCCCCCTTAATAATTGTCCATCAGTAATCGAACTCGTGACCTTGACTCTGATACCAATTGTTAGAAAACTAATAATTATGATCCTGATTTTGATTCTAATGATCAAACATAAACGTTATCTCATACTCATAAACATGTTGTAGATTGAATGCGAAAGCGTACCTGAATTAGTCATAATGATGATGTCCATTTTAGAGCACTATTGATCTTATGGTCTTCCACCTGAAGAGTACATTTATTTGCTCTCTGGATTTTCTCTCTTGATGAGGATAGAAAGAAAGGAATGCTCCCAGAAGGGAACCATGACCCATTAAATAACCAGAATTAGGTTAATTACTTAAGTTTTAGTATTTCTAATTTGGTCCCTCATAAAATTAGAAATTATTTTATAGTCTCTACACAATTTTATTGTTATGACATATGTCTCTAGCCAAAATTTTAATTTAGTCAGATCACTTTATTATTTGGCTTAATAAATAATGACCCTAACATATTTAAATTATGTATCATATAAATACATTACCCAAATTATTTCAACAAATATTATATTTATGTGTAGAATTACTATCTAATGTTCTCACCGAATGTTGACATCAGTTAACTTTTTTATATATAAAAGATTTATTCACTTAGCGAGTTAGATTTTAAGATAGAGATTTATATTTTATTTTTATCACTTAGTTTTAGTAATATAATAATCTAAATTAATAATTTATCTTAATCAATACCTCATGTATTAGTTCTGTAATTTAAGTATGAAGTTTTATCATCGGTGTGAAATTCTAATTTTGTTTAAAGAAATGTGGCAACCAAAGATTTATGGATTAAAAATGATAGTGATTTGTTTGGTCAACCCTTTAACAGCAACAACATTTACGCGCTTGGTACCTTAAAAAACAGTTGAAAGTTAAAGGTTTAGAGTTGGAATTGTACCTTAGTTTTTTTTTAATCTGTAAATCAATGGATACTTGTAGGGTTGACCTCTACTAGTTCAATTTCTTGGATGTTTGCATATTAGGTGGATCAAGGAACATATTTTATATTTCATCAGCATGCCTTCCTCCAATAATTTAGCTGCTTCAAAACTAGATTTGGAATTGGTTTTGCAGAACATTAGAAAGGGGTTGAAACTAGTTCAAGCTTTAAAAGTAAGTTCAAAACTAGTTTGGTTAACAGCCAATTAAAACTATAGTATATAATTCACCAAAACAAAACTAATTAGATACTTAACTACTTTGTCAAACTATAAAATGGTTTGCTTTGAAAAAAAAAAATGATTCATTAAATGATTTAGTTAGTTTGTTTGATTTTTTGAAAGAAACAAAATGCACAACTCTACCATTAATAGTTTAGAGTAACACGTTATGTCAAACATTATATTTATACCTCTTTCCCTCTTGTCTCATCCTTCCTCTCATAAGGTATAAATTTTGAAAGGTGTGAATGATTTATTTTTTTTAATAACTAATAACATTATTTTTTTAATAAAAATATCTACTTCATACTGGCAAATAGTAAATTCCAAATCCCTTTTCCATCATCTGGATTGCAGTTATCAAATTCTATATTAGTGGCAGAAGTACAAAGAATAAGATAAATAGTAGTAGCAACAACGTAATAAGTAGAATGAGTTTCCACGACACACAGTCAGTGCATTTGCAAAACCAAGAAAAAAATCCCCTATACTCACAAATCTCGTCGAGGAAAGGTGATGGAAAAAACAGAAAGGTTCATTGATCATACAAAACTTTAACGAAATTGCAAGGGGTGAGAAAGAAAAGAAAGGAAGGGCGAATAGAAGAAAAAATTTGGTGTAGAAAGATATATATATATATATATATATATATATATATATATATATATATATATATATATATATATATATATATATATATATATAATGGAGAAGATGAATGTAATGGTTTATAGTAGTTTTCGGCGGTAGACTAACAAATTCATGAAAGAATCAATTGTCCCAAAGAAATAGGTTTGAAACTTGGCAATCTCCTAGCCGAATGTAAATTGAGCCTCAATCATCGGAGTGGTTACGAACAACGAATTTTGGTGCTTCATTCATGTGATAATATTTTGCCTAACGCTAATCCACCCTCCCTACGCCGTCACAAGAGAATATATTACTTGGATGACAGGTATAGCCATGCCTAAAATCCGCAGAAAGCAGCTTCTGTTATTTGACTTTGACTCCATGAATTGCGTAAGGATTGTGACTCAATATTATTTAGCATGTCTCACAATTGTTTAGACAAGAAATATATTTCTAATCTTCATCTCTATCATGAAACATCTATATATTTTTTTAAGAACAAGTTCTTCAAAATTCAAATCTGTGGGTGACTCTCATTTTCAAAGTTAATAGAGCCAAACTAGTCAAAAATCTAAAAATAACTACACATATTACGTCATGTATGATGAAATCTCACAAAAACACACGCACCCACACACACACACATATAAATATATATATGCTAAAGCTAGAGAACCACCTCATAGCCCCTACAAGTACATGGTAGGAGATGGTGCAAACTAATTACAGTGGTTAATTTATACAATAAAAAGAAAATATACACTATGAATAATAATGTTACATAGATGAAAAGGACCCAATATTTTCCTTCCCAAACCAGAAAAAACTATTGGATAGACAGTCATGATATGATGATTCACACCATGAAAGAATACAAGCATATATACATATGTCATATGTATACCACTACTGTATGTACATATACATATGCATATGGATTCATAATTTTACCAAACAAAAGAACAGCTAGCTAACAAAATTGGGTCATGAGGATTGAGGAAGCCACATGACATGACATCAGGTGGGGGACTCGGCCAGAAGAAGCGTATGCCACCAGCCACATGCAACGTTTTTAGCTACGCAACCATCGATGGTGACTTCAGAAGGAATGTTACGGTCAATCACGTCCCCAAGGCCCAACTGCGACATTCATAAATTAAAACTTAGAACTGTGTACAAGAATGCTAAGAATTTATAAGGCAAGTATCACTTAATGGACGAATGTTGTCTAGTAGAAATTGCAACAATATTGATTGTTAGTTAGAAGAAGTCACATGAAATGATCCTGCAGAATATAATCACCTGTCCATACTTGTTCCATCCCCAGCAGAAGACTTTTCCATTATCTTGAAGAAACAAAAAACAAAAGGAGAACTAATAAGAATCACCTAAGAGTCCAGCCAAAATGAAGAGCGTGTATGACCCTTGTGAAAGCAGAAACAGTAACGCAAAGATTGAATTTGTAATCTTATTCAGCTACATTATTGTAGAAATATATTCAGCTACATTACTAAATTACAGACCACATTTAACTATTTGCAGTCAGTCAATCATCCCGAAAAATATTATTCCTGAACTCTCCTAAAGAATATTTTCACCATTAACCCTGCTTCAAGGTAGCATCAGCATCCTACATTTTTAATAAGAAAAAGAATACTTGTTCCAATATTTTGTGATTTCAACCAGTTGTATTTACTAAAGGATAAATAACAATCTCAAAACATCCGGTCAAAGACACTTAAGAATAAATAATGAAAGAAAAAGGATAATATTAAGGGCTCACTGTCAATATTTGAACAACCATCCGGATTCTATCGTAAAAAAGAGATGAAGCAGGTTTTCCAGCCCAGCAGTATTTAGATATGCATTAATGTGACTTCAGTCTTAGGATTTGTTTAGGCAAACTTCTTCATAAACACTTCTAAGAGAGAAAAATAAGAAAATAAAATAAACATCTCTATTAACTTATATTTAAACTAATTTGAAGTTCTCTCCTATAACTTCCCCAAATTCTTATTTTTGATTTATGTATGAACAAATTTTTAGTTTATGGAAAAACTTTTTCTTATTTTGCTTTCCTATAAGAGTTTATAGAGAAGTTTATCTAAACAAACCCTTAAAGGAATAGTTTTGCCTACATGGTTATGAAAATTCCATTAGCAGTTGTGTTGTAGTATACCTGTTATTAGAGCAGTGTGACGAGCCCCACAAGATATCCTCTTAGCGTTGACATTTTCCAAGCTCGGACAATCCAGGAGCCTTGGCATAGTCTGGTCAACATTCAAAATTAAAACTAATATCACAGAATGTGTCAATTCAACAACCTAAGAGCATGAAATGCATTATCGAGCTTTAGCAGACAGCAATAGTGACATTGATAGCCATAATGCACTGATATATAATATAATAAAAAATTATGTTTCAATGGAATGGCAATTGGCATACCTCTGCTTGATCAGCACCAGTTCCCAGCTGCCCAAACTGGTTTCCACCAAATGCATATACATCACCATCAGCAGATGTACACACAGTATGCCACAGTCCTGCGGCAACCCCCTCTATTTGAATACCCAATAAGGAAGATACACAAGTCGGACTCAGTTCATCATCTGTACTTCCTTGCCCACACTATTCCAAAACAACATTACATTAGTTTAGTATAACAAGCATAAGCATGCATCAACCAACAGAGCGAACAGAAAGATAAATATTGTAAAGTAATAGAACAGATTATCCCTTGTTAGAGTGAACCTCATCTTCAACATCTACATTGCTTTTGCTCACCATATCCTACTTTACCTACATGTTGATTCTAAAGTATGGTTAACAGTTCATGATATAGAAGTGAATAGATTTCAACTGACCAAAATCTAAACCCTAGAAAATTTAGTTAATTCTCATGCAATAAAGCCTCAAGCAATCTTAGCTGATCGGCTGCATATCACTATTTAAAGTATCAAGGAAGTATTAGCTAGCAAACTAAATATGTGGTTGATATGTGAACAAAAGCAATTACTCCTAAAAGGAACTATCAATGGGAAGGTATAAATTCAGTGGATGATAAATCTCATATCAAGAAAACTCGAGTATTCCATCTAATAATTTTTCATTTTATCTATTTCCCTTCAAGGCCCCCAGCAGGTGAACACAATGGTCTGCCTCGAGACTGATTCACTCCAGAATATGCTTTCTACTATGAGGATCCAAGCAAGCTAGCACAGATTAGAACACCTCAGGAATTTATTTACAAGTAATTCTGACAAAATTTGCTGGGAAGGAAAACACTACAATTGTATTGCTATAAATAATATATGTAGTTAGGTAGCCACAAAAGAAAAAGAGAACAAGCAAATGGTAACTGCACAAAATTTACACTGCCAAATAGGATAAAAACATTTGGGTAGAGAAGAAGACCAAAGACATCTCAAGTTCACCTTAAATTACCTGTCCATAAAGTCCCCAACCAAATGTAAGCACAGCTCCAGCATCTGTCAGTTGAACAGGAAGACAATGGGATGTCAGTACTATGATGTGTAAAATTCACCATAACTGATTCAGAAGAATTTTAGGAAATAATAAGCAATAATGGAAGTTGTATGTTATATGGTAAATTGGGAAGTAACCACTTGACTCTTAATCAAGCATCTGGAAATGCACAACATTTAAAGGTATTTCACATAATTATCAGGAATTTAGGATATGGTTTCTCCCTTTCATCAAATCATACAATTCATTGTCTGCTTGTCCCATATAAGGTAGAACCAATTTTCTCTTTCTAAACACCAACGGGATACCATTTACATGAACTGCATTACAAATGAAGTGGATATTCTCACTTTTGGCTCCCCAAAGAAACTAATGCAAGCTGTTATAAGGTATTCATTTGAGATAACAAATAGAGTTGTGCACATTTACCTGTTATAACAGCACTGTGTCGACCTCCACAGGCAATTGCCTTTATATAACTTCCAGGAACTCTGAAATTTTGCCCATCTGAACTCATGCTTCCTCGAGCCAGTGACAATGACATATCTTTACCATAAGAAGAGGAATTAATACAAGGAACTAGATGAGGAGAGGACACCATTCGTATTCTAGAACCCAAACCAAGCTGCCCTTCACCTCCATAGCCCCAACCCCACACCTGTCCTATATCTGAAAATTCCAGAAAATTACACTTAAAAACAAGTCTTAGATTGCATAATTGATCTTCTAAAGCACAAAAAACATTGTTACAACCAAAAAATGCTCACATTATATATAAAAATAACATACATAAAATTTTAGGCCTTGGTTACCAAATAGTCCGTTAATAAAGTCAATACCTGATAATGCTAAGGTATGGCGACCACCAGCAGCAACACTTGCTATCCTTATGCCTGGGTTTAGTGTGACAAGACACGGCAATGCTGTTAGAGCATCATCACTGGAAGATGAGGTTTCAACTGTTTGCTTTGCTGAAGACACTCTTCTTCTCTTTGTGCTTTCTTCTCCACTGGTACTAGAAGCAGTTCCTCCAGTAGATTTTGAGCCTTGAGAACGAGGGCTTACTGTAGCAAAACCACTCTCCATTAGTTATACAGATAAAGGCTAAGTATATTTTTTAATAAGTATAAAGGGGAATTTTTTTTTCTTCGGCTTTCAAACACTATCCTATGCCATAATAGTTCTTATCTTTTACTCTTATTTAAGTACACTTTTACTACCTTCGATCACCTCTTAAAAGGAACATTAGCGATGGAGAAATGACTACTATAAAGAGGTCAAACATACCTTGCTCCGTCAAGAATGAGGTTTGCCTTCCCGGTACATCCTTTTCAGAGCTTACCCCAGTTGATTCATCAAATACCTTACCAGAGGGAACACATTCCCTCCATCCCCACGTGTAAACTTCTCCACAATCTGCATTGGAACAACAAAACAGGTATGTAGGATGATAGAAGTAAGAAAACATGTTTTTTGGACAGACAATCTATTGGACTCGTTTTGGATTAATTATTTGTGGAAATTAGCTTAGTATTTGATAAATTATCCAAGAGGACAAACCTTCCGATTCAACTTTAATTTATGCCTTCCTTTTACAATCACATCTTCCTTCCTTGGCAAGCAAGATAAGTAAATGAATCTTACCAGTCACAGAAACACAATGTGCCCATCCAGATGCAGCTTTTACAATAGTCACTTCAGCTGGAAGAGGGAAAGGCTCTGGAGTTTCCTTTATAAAGAAATTATAAAATGTCAGTTGAGTGAAAATGAAACAAGAGAGAGAACAGTATCACTCTATATGGTTTCGGATTACCCCATGTTTGCCACATGTAACATAGCTTTGGCCTAAATCATCTGTTGAACCCCATGTTATGAGCTTTCCAGGCTCTGATTAAGGAACAAAGTATGGGTGATAATGAATGCTTTACGTTAGTAAAATGTAAAAAAGAGAAAGGGTGTCTTAAGAGATAGAAAGCAGAAAGATTAGCACTGAGATAACTTAAAATAAATCAAGAAAGAACACCGAAGACATTAAGTACCGATACAATATCATTTACATAAAAAAGAAAGAAAAAAAAGTACACTTATATTGTCGTATTGAAGACATTAACATAAATGCCAGCATATTAAAAAAACAAACCACAATCAGTTCCAAGGTAGTGATTGATGAAAAGAAGTAAAACCAGCTCAAAACGGGTAGTATGGAAAACCTGACAACTGCTAGGGACCTCTTCTATGATTTGAGCTACATAACAAAATAGGTTCTTTTGTCTTGTAAAATTGACAATCGTTAATTTTTAATCCTAAATTTTAAAACTCAACTTTTCATTCCTGCAAACTGTAAATATTAAACTTCTCTCGTTGGTCTAACTCTTTGGGTGATGAAAGTTTAGCATATCTTATAGACTGCGAGATAAAAACTTAAATATTTACAAAATGCATAGAGAAAAAGTGAGGCGTCATAGAAGTCAGAGACAAAAAAAAAAGATTGTCAATGTTACTAGTACGAAGAATCCCATTAACCCTAACAACATATCAGAAACATAAAAGAATAACAATGGCAAATAACTGAAAGAGTTCCAATCGCAATAATTTAATCAAACAAAAAAACAAGTGCCCTATTAGGCAAAACGACTGGAATCAATTCTTCCCACAGCCGCACAAGTTCCAAAGTAAAATCTATGGACGAGTTGTTAATTTTCAAAATTAACTCTATCAAAATATCAACTTCGCCCTAATTCAAAATAAACGGAAAGAACTCTGCGGCCAACAAAACCACACACACAAAGATCTTCAATGTTAGCTCAGGCTACAGAACCGAGTTCAGTAAATTTAAAATCTGACTCCATTAAAATGAAAAGAAAAATATAAGGGAGAAGCAACACCTTACATTTCTCCAACAACAAAAAGAAAGGGGGAAAAATAGAAAAGACAAAATAAAGTTTTAGGCACCAGAGATGGCCATGGCAAATCCACAACCGCCGCCGCAAACATCTCTCCAAGAGTAACCCGACGGCGGAACCCTAACGAGAACCGGCGTCAGCAGCGGCGACCTCTGCGGCAGAGCTCCTGGGAGGTAACCCCACATGTACACCAACCTCTCTCTCTCCACTTGCATTGCTTCACTCCCCTCGCCATTCATGGCGATTCCCACCAAAAACACTGAAGAAAACAGAATACCCAATGCAATAAGCAAAGAAAACAACTTTATTTTTTTTATTTATTTTTTTAAAAGAAAGAAAAAACTCTCCCCTTATTTCAGGCGTTTGAGGTTGTATTCTTATCGAGCGGAAAGTACCCACTCTTTTTCACTGCTGGTACATAAAAGGGCAGTATCATTTTCGGCGTAACCGGAGTGCCACGTCGGACGCTTGCGTGGTTCCAGTGACACGTGTCGCGTTTCTGTCCGCTACATCCGCCTTTCGTTTCTGGCCAGTATTTTGGCGGAACTTTCCGGAAGGTCTCTGCCTCTCTGCTAACGCCCCCGGGGCCGTGTGCGCTACCAGCTACCGTGGCCGTTCTCTCCTCGCGCCACGTGTTGCTTCCTCCTTAACCTCCAATCATTGCCTATTGCCACGTTTCGATTTCTCTGTGGGACACGTCATATGTGGACCCCTCGTGGAGCCGGAGAAGCTTGTGACGTGATGTGATGGCGTCATAGCCATGGTGTTTGCAAATACTTTTCGTAACTCTTCCAACTTTTACATTTCTATGGATTCTTAGTTTTCTACATTATTACTAATTTTTTTTTCTGGAAAAGGAATCAACGCAAATAATGTGTCATATTTAAATCTTTCCATAAAACATACGTAAGAAAAAACTTCAATCTTGTTCCTTACGTTAGTAGAGGCATTCTTGTTTTTTGAATTGCATAAATCTCAACATGTTTTATATAAACAAGATATTAATAGAAAAACATAATAGTAATGAATTTCAACTTCATGAATAAGAGTTCCTTGACCACAGAGTCTCATGAGTCATTTTGTTTATAATTTATTTTGAGTCCGGAAGTTGACAGTTGAGAAGTGAGAAAACAAGTGTGGTACTTTAATTGGTAGGTGGGTTGAAGGAAGATGAATATACCACTTGTTCCACAAATTTTATTCTGAAAATGAAGACTTTTACGTACCCAAAGTTTGCTCAACCACTTGTTTATATTTCTTGTTTTCCCATTTTTTAATATTATTAGGAGAATATACTTTTTGACATTGAAAATTCCAACCATTACACTTTCTTCAGTTATGAAACAGAAATAAATGACAACAAATAAAATGAAATAGAGTAGAAAATAAAACGATTATTTATAATATGATTCTATAACAAATATTTTTCATTAATTTTTCCCTTCTCGGCCTTATTCTCTTGTTTGCATTGAGCTAGTTTCAGCAAATGTCTCGTTTTCTCACTCTTCCTCCCTCTAATTTTGCTTTGGGTGCACCAGAAATATTGTTGTATGTTGTGAGAGTTGAAACCACCAAAAATATGAAAACAGCTTCATATTTCAACAAGGGTTTCATACTTTCCATATTCCGAAGATTTTGGAATTTGGTTAAGATTTTTTCAAATGGCATCATTTTAGTCTACTAAGTATTTACACGAATAAGGTGAAGCCTTATCATATGTTAGGTAATGCAAAAATGACAAACACGAGATTCTTTGCCTTTAATTCACCATCCAACCACGAGTAAGATTTACTTGACGTCACCATTCTGTCATTATCAAACGTTGCTAGTTAATCATTAACAACAACAACCAGAAAATGGAAAATACGAGAAACTGCTAAACAAGGTTTTTTACGTAAGATGTACAAGATCCACAAATGCAATTGTTTATAAAGGTAATGAAATTTATTATCTAAATAAACGATGTTATATTGTTTGTTCGTACACCACTGTCTCAAACTATGTTTTGAACGAGAGATATTCATGAAGAGAATATTTTTAAAAGTAATATATTAAGTTAATTATAATACTTAAAAAATAAGGTCATTACAATTAAAGCAGTGTAAAGTAAAGTAGTGGAAGTAGGACAAGGAAAGAAACACGTGGAATGGAAGTGTAAAAGCAAGGCTTATAATTGGTGGAGTGAAAGCAACAATTGGATCCATTTGGGCCGGGCCCATTTAAAACGCATTAAGACACGTTGCCCTAATCATCATACACATCCTCTTTGCCACTCAATCTTTTGTGGCACTAACACCTCTCACACCATTTTCGAAAAGTTCAACGCCAGGGTGTTAACCAGCCACCTCTACTAGAAAACACCGTGCCAATTAACAGTTTATAAATTGGGCCCAGTTTCATAATGGCCCATTGTCCTGTGGCTATGAAGCATCGTACGGACCTGGTTCCGCGGTTGGAAGATGAAAGGTAATGATTGACTGTGGCTGGGCCCAGAATAACTTGATGGGAAAGTGATTCTGAATCGTCCATTGAATTATATAGAGTCGCAGACAAATGTTACACACCGCGGGAAATCAGGAGCAGCTAGAACCGTTGGATGTTTGTATGACAATCATATTGTATGGGGCACGCCATCGTGTGGTGAGGAAGCGGTGTTTGATGTTATCTTAATGTCACATGGTCATCAATTATTGATTGTCTGAGTCTTTACTGTTACGAGGAAAAGGGGGGTTTTCAGAAGAATTTGAGAGGGAGCTATCACTATATATATATATATATATATATATATATATATATATATATATATATATTGTCTCCTTTAATATCTTATTTTTATCTTAGTTTTTTAATTGAGTTCTCATTTTAAAATAATTTATGTAAGCAATAATTTTTTAATTTTCTCAACTAACAAGAAGTAAATTTACTCGAGATAACTATAAGTAAATTAGTTTAGAACTGGATCATGTGGTTTTGAATTATTAAATATTTTTTTATATCGTGTTAAACAAACAAAAGAATAATATTTGAAAAAATAAAGGGAATAGTGTTACGTTGAGTGGTGTTAAAAACTTTGCTGCTAACTTCAGATTTGATCTGACTTAGATCAAGTTTAACACTTTTGAACACATCAGTGAATTGAATAAATTTTTTTAAATAATCTGTCCCTTAGATTAGGTTGAAGGATTCAACCGTGGACCCTAATCCACTCACACTATCATGAATGCAAGTTTTTTTTTTTAAGTAAACATAATTGTTAATGCATTTTTAGCAACATATATCTTTATACATTTTTTAACAAATAAATTTATTTTTTAAAAATTTACATGAGATGAAGGAATATAATGAGAGAAAAAAGCATAATTGTAATATAAACCGTAAATTACAATTTATTATTTGTTTCTACTAAATTTGGTTTGAAATTTTAAATTGTCCTATGCTTATTGAAATGACATTTATGATTGTTTTTTTTTTATGAGAAATCATTATATTATATTGCTTTTAACAAGAAAGAAAATGAGTTGGAAACAATGCATTTATCTAAATTGGCTCCATAATAGCATTTGTAAAAGAAATAAAGAGATTATTCCTAACTTTTAATTGGTGATATTTTACCAACGCATCTTAGTCATTGACTTTGGAAAGTCCATGTCATTCAGCATTATTACAAAGTGGGTTATAATTGGGTCTGGGACCTAGGACTAGGATTAAATAAAAGGTTCATGTGCAAAAGTAGGCAACGAAAACAGCATTATAGTGTGACAATCTGACAATGACAAAGCATCTTACTGATGAAAGAGTAATGCAAATATCTTATAATTCTATAATAATAGTGTTGTAGGAAGATGTAGAATTATTTTGAAAGATTTAGATTCAAAAGAAAATCTGCATATCCAGTCCCATAAAAAACTGACTGATCATGTTTTTTTAAAACAAATATATTTCATTTGATTGGATCAAATTTTCAATAAAATTTTGAAAACAAATTTATATTAATGTTTATGTTTCTATTTCTTATGTATTTAAAAATTATCAAATCTTGTATTTATTTATGACAATACTAATTTGTCGTTACTATTTGAATAAAGGTAATATATATATATATATATATATATATATATATATATATATATATATAATTTATAGTTATGCTTATTCCTTTATAATATAATTTGAAAAACATGCTACTAAAAAAACCTTAACTAATTTAATAAATTACATCACAGCTCTTATAAATTATATTATATTAACCCTCTGAAACATTAATGTTATTATTTTAAATTTGTCTACACGTGGACTTCTTCCCTGCTAAAAACGGCAAACGAAAACTAAAGAAAAATGTGATTGCTATCGACAGCATAACTATAATTTCCCACTACCTTGCGGTTATTACCCAAGGCAATGTTAGTGGAGAAGGAACAAGGCATACTTGTTCGTAACATCCCTTTTTATTTTATAATTTGATCAAATTTAACAACTAAAACAAAAATTGTGATAAAAGTTTGTTGTGAAGACCCTCCTCTTAACATATAATAACGTTACAATCTACAAGCAGAATTTTGTCTCTATTCTATTTATAGTTTTCAGCTATTTTTATTGTTTCTCAGAAAAGGGATGGATCTAAATGGCAGGAAAGACCTACCAGATTGAATACCGACCAGACATACACATAAACCCGGTGGTGATTCAAGTCTGGAACGGAACCTTCACTCCAAATCCTGGCATTCCAAGAGAAACTTCTATCATTCATCTATTCTTTCGCTTATAAAGGAAGTGTTTTCTTCCAAGCCATCATGTTATAAAACAAACAAATATATCAGCTATTTACTTTTTATTAAAGTCATCAAGCACGATATACCCTACATTAGAACTGTTCTAATGTCAAACTACCATAGAAAATGCTGTCCAAAGTAGCTCCATGAGACAAGGAGGGAAGGCCAGAAAACTTCACATATAAAATCCCAGGGATCAGTTGAAATGAAAATGGTGAATCACTTATATTGACAGGGAGTTTCATGACTAGGGTTATCTATATCACACTTTAATGGTTGCAGATTGAGATTGTAAACTATGCTTATGTTCGCCTCCTTACTCGCCTGCCATTTGGATTAACTGATTCAGCTGCTGCACCATCTGCCAAATCTTGGCCATATATGCTACTGCCACTTCTCTTTCTGCTCAATGTCAGGCTTGAGTTATCATCCACTGATGCAAATGTCTCCAGCAATTCCAACAACATTGTGGGGCAGCTCTCTTTCAAATGCACAAAAGCTTCCGACTGCATTACAGCTGCACAAGATGTAATAATATATATCACCGAGTGTTCAAATGTTGAAATGTTGGGACTCCAAAAAGCCATTAAGTGTAAGGAAATAAAGTCACGAAGGTTATAAACTGAGCCAAATTTAATCGACAAGTCACATAATCCCGGAAAGTAAGTTTTTGAAAGCAACGCAAGAAACCATTTACTCCAAGTAGAAACCCACAGGCATATAACCAGTGACTTGGTGTCACAATTTAGTGAGCTCTGTAAGAAGCGGCAAGGAGAGAATGACAGAAACCTCAAAATACCCCATCTATGAATAATTAAGTACTGGAAATTCAAAGATTGAATTCCATACAGATTTTCAAAATCCACCAATTTTGGACATAAAACTTGATATTTTATGCATTAGAAATTGGAATTACCTTCTGAAAATGCTCCATCTGGAAACGAAAAATGAAAAACTTAGGAGTGGTGGATTATTTTCATAAGTGCAACAAAATTGAATTACACTATGGCAATTCACTTCAGAAATCAACTATTTAAAATCAAGTCAATACACAATTATAAAATCTGGATAATGGACACACCGGCAATTCCTTTTTATCCCAACATCAATTAACAGATAATAAACAAGTTACGAGTCAAATGAATTTAAATTATAAAACAAAACTACAGTTAATAATAAGTGACATGAAAAGGACGGTGGTGAGGGCGGGGATTTACAAATTTAATTAAGTGTAAAATGTAAACTGACTGAAGGTGCAAAAACAACAGAGTAACAAAATATAAACAGAATTACTTACTCAAACTACACAGTACATGATAGCGCCAAACGTTAAGAAATTCTCTTAAACTTTATTAAAGGGATAAAATTATTCATGACAATACTGCTATAAATGTTGTATTTCATGTGCATGCAAGGGTGGGTGAGGAAAGACACACAAGACCATATCCTTTTCCTGATGTAAGTACCTAGGTTTACTTCTACTGCTCCCTTACATCCATATATTTCCCTAACAGATATAACTACGGAGCATGTGGGAAGAAATCTTCTAAAAGATGCAAAGAATTAAAATTAAATTTAAAACCAAGCTTACAGAAGGAAGGAATGGGATTCAAAAGGATTTCAAGTGATAATTAATTTTGAATGTCATAATATATATCATGAATAGTGAAAGAAGAAATTCACATTATACTACCAAACAAAGTAACACATCTCTTGCATTATTATCAGAAGCACACAGCATAAACCATAACCCACTTAAAAGATTGCCACTAAAATAACACAAGTCACATCGTGTCAACAAGCTCTATCAGTTATTTCTAAACAAAATGCAGTTCTTAGAATAAAAATTAACGAGGGTCAGTACATGCAGCCTTTTACCCTTTCACATGCAAAGAAGCTGTTTCCATACAGATAAATGTTCATGTTCCTTAATAAATTGTGGCAAAGCTCTCAATGCTTCCATGATTCCACTATAACTAACTACCATCCTTATTTCCCCTTTATATTATCCGAAGAAGCTCCATTGCTAAACTTTCTGGAATGACAAGTATGTGCAAGATATAAAACTACTTAAGACGAGATTACACCAAATGCACACTTTAATAATATGCCAGATAAAATTTATCCATCAAATTCCTAGGATCTATATTTTTTTCCTGAGCTGGTAGACCTTGCAAAGTTTACATGAGAAGGGATAAGAAACAGATGAGACTCAGTGGGCCTGAATTATAAGTGTTTGTGCAGTGTGTGTGCCCCTGCTCTGAAATTTTCTACTGAGGTCCTCATTGTGATCAGGGACTGCTCCGCTCTACCACAGACCTTCCCCTCACTCCCCCAGTTTGCCAGGCCAACAACAAGCTGCGACTACAATACCAGAAATAATGGGATCTCTCTCCCTCACTTAAAATTGGCCAGGGCACATGGAGGTCTGTCCCAGTCCCAGTCCTACACTGACACAGTCTGTTCTGAGTTTAATAATGTCGAGGGCCCCATAGTACACTGTTCACAACCCTGGTATGTATGTGTGCGAATTATCAATTGCTTATTATTAAATTAATTAATTAATTCCAAATAATTATTACATTTTTTCTATATATTTGTTATTATATGTTGCACGTATCTATTATATTATACAATCTAGTATATAATATATAATTATGTATTAATGGTTTTCTATATTTTTTAAATATTCTTAAACATTTGTAATGTAAACAAAATCATATGATTAATAAAAAAACAGCAAAAGAAACCCTTCCCAAA